AGGGGGCGGGGGTAGAGCTGGGGCTAGGGAGAGGAGCGGCTGAAATGGAGGGAGAGGGGAGGACCGGGAAGGCAGAGGTGGGAGCAATGGGGAAGGAGGGATGGGAGGCCAGGGGGTTAGAGAGAGAGGGGACGGAGGGGCTGGGGAACAGGCCTTGAGAGGGACTCAGGGGGAAATGATGAGCAGGGGAGAGAGCCAGAAAGGAGTGACCAGGTAGAAAGATAGGGTTGGGGGAGACCTGCAGACATAATTTTGGATGGGAGCTCAGAGGTGAGGAAAACATCAAGGAATTAGAAGGGCAGAGTTTCAGGAGAGGTGCTGGAGGAGAGGATGAAAATAGGGGTGAAAAGGGAGGCCAAGAAGATGGGGGCAGGGTAATGGGGGGCTCAAAGAATGGTAGGGAATAGGGAAAAAGAGAGGAGGATGGAGGGAGAGAAGAAGGGGCCAGATGGAGAGAGAGGGAGGCTGGGGAGGGGGGAGCTGGAGGGTCCAGATGGAGGGAAGAGAGGAGAGGGAATGGGTTGGGGGATGGGACACCAGGGCAAGGGGAGGGCCAAATGATGTGTGTGTTTGGGGTGGGGGTGGGGGGTTGCAGGTTGGATGCTAGTAGGATTGAATGATGGCAGTGGGGCAGATTAGGACCCTGGCCTAAACGCTGACTTTCATTGAGACCCTTGACCAATTAAACCACCCCCCTGGGGTCTTGTCTGCACCGTTCATTTGACCACTTTTATTACCACCCCCCACCCCCGCCCCCATCCTTCTTTCCATTCCCCCTCCCTCCTCTGGTGTCCATCACCTATATCGTTCCCCCCATATGGTGTCCGTTCATCATATGAGTCCCCTTGCCGTCCTTCCCCTATATTAGTCCCCCCTCTGGTATCTATTCCCTCCCTCCCTCTCTTCTGTATAGAAGCTCCTGCTGTGTGTACACCACCTTTCCACTCCCTCCCTCTTAACCCCCTTGCCCTAGCCCCCCTACTGGGTCCACCTCAGTTTCTATTCCCCATGCCCAGTTGGACCCTGCTGGTGTATTTTCTTGCCCCTAGAGATTTCCCATCATCTCTGTCTCCATTTTCCATAGATCCACTCCTGTCACGGTCCCCCAGCCATTCCCTACCCTGCTCCTCATCTGGTCCCCACAGGCCTGTGCCTACCCACTTTCTCCTACCACCCAGTTCTTGTCACCCATTCCTCTTGGATATTTGGGGTACATCGACACAGAGGTTTTGATGGGTGAAACCGGGAGGGGCTATAAGATGTCTCCATTTGAACCCTGGTGGACTTTCTCATTCTACTAAATCTCTCCCTTCCTCAGCCATATTTCTCTGCTTCTTGGATTCATCCTTCCCCAAGTCCAGACAGTCTGTGTGTGAGTGTGTGTTTGTTTCTGGAGTTTGCCCCTAAGCAGAGTTGCTAGTGTCCTTCTCTGCCCCCAGGGAGAAATAAAAGCCAAACCCCCTGGCAGTGAGCTAGTGCTCCTAGTGACCCCATCGGGCAGGGACAACTGCCCCTGTTGCGTTTCTGAGAGCATTACTCTTGGTGGGAGTAGACAAGCCTCGGCTTTCTCCCACAGAGCCACTGGGGGTTTTGAACTAACCTTGCAGTTAGCAGCCCAACACGTAACCTATGCTACCAGGGCTCCTCCTGAAGTCCACCTTGCCTCCCTTTGGCTGCAGCCTAGACCAACCCCTCCATAATGGATATAAATAGTAACCAGTTTGTATTCTGAATGAACAAGTGTCTGAGTGCTTGTGGGCATGTTACCTGCAGCCTCTCAGAGCCTAGATACTGTGATCTCTATCGAGAAACTATTCATTAATTCTCTGAGATGACATTGAGATAATGAAAGTTTCCATGTATTATAGTTTGTAGATAATCTCTGAGTGATGTGGAGGTTGGGAAAATTGAGGGACATGTTTTAAACAGAAAGGAACCTGAATTTTAAAAGCTGGACCACTCTGGGTTATTTGGTTGGAAGGAAGCCCAAAGACTGATGCTCCAGCGATATCCACTGTTAATTTTCCCACGAAAGGGACACAGTTTGATTGTTCTTCCTTTAAACCCTCTTTGACTCCGATACCTTAAATCTGATTTCTGTCCTCCTGGAGCCTATTTTCTGTCACTTTGATGTCACTGATTTGATTTCTCCTCCATAGGGCTTGTCCCCTGAATCCTTGTGATGGGCAACCATGAAATTTCCAGGAGAGGCAGTCTGTAAAGTGCGGGTGTGTGTGTGTGTATGTGTGTGCGCGTGTGGAGGCACCTCTGAATATAGACGACCTTAATTTCCTGTTCTTCTAAAAGTTTTATACCTCTCCCCCCTCTCCCCACCCTTGTCTTTGGAGGCCCCCCTCTTTGGAGAGTCCATTCTTCCTCTGCTCGCTTCCCCTGTACCCTCTGTGTGCCTTAGGGAGGTTGCTAACAGGTGGGGTTGACTGCTATACTGTTTTAGGAGATTAGGGAGTTTTGTGTTTGGGGTGGGGGAGCACAGGAAAGAGACCCATCCAAACCAGGGTGTATTTCTTACCTCCCTCATCCCATCTCTTCCCCTGCCTCACTCAGCCAGACACTGACTAGAGCCATCTTTCCCTATCCTCTGAGGACCCAGAGCATCCCTGAGGATTGAGCAGGGTTGGGCAAGGGAAGGAAGGGAGGGAGGCCCTGTCAAGTTTTGACTCTGTAATCAGGTAAGCTCCCTCGATTCGTTTAGTTTCCAGATGTTTAGCTCTCGGAATCTCATTACCCAAATTTCCCACTCCCCCCTCCGCCCTGCCTGCTTTTCTTGCCCAATTGTGCAGCTTTCCTGTTTCCCGTACAGATGGGTGGCGTCACTTCCCTGGTCCTTGCCATCTGCTATTTGGATGCCCTCCCTCGTCCCAGGCACCTGCCGCAAATCTCTCTTTTCACTTCCGATAACTTTGCTGCACGTCTAACTTTTTTATTTTCCCAAGGTGGCCGGAGAGCTCATTTGCCTTTCTCTGGCCCCCGATGCGCCCTCGCTGACGTTTTGCAGTTCCACTCCCTGAGCCACCTTCTGTCTTTCTTCTTCCAACTCTGCTGACCCCACTGCCTCTCCCCACTCTCCCCAGTTGTGTAGACTCAGCTCCTGGTCCATTAGAGGTGCCAGTTACCTCACCTTCACCTGTGCTCTCGAGGGGGTGGGGTCCCTTCCCCCACTTTTTGTCTTCTTGCCATTTTAGGCCCCCCTCTCTCAAATGCATAGTGTCTCCCTTACAGTTTCTGTCTCTGCCCCCCCAGATGTACGGGGACCCCCTATGCACCGAACCCAATACGTTCATTCCCCGTACGATCGTCCTGGTTGGAACCCTCGGTTCTGCATCATCTCTGGGAACCAGCTGCTCATGCTGGATGAGGACGAGGTGAGCAGGGTGAGAAGGCTGGGGAAGGAGCTCTGGGTAGCATGGAGAATGTGGAGAGATGCGATGTAGCGAATCCTCATCAGGAGTAAAGAGAGGAGGCAGACAAAGATGAAGAACCTGGGGAAGCAATGAGAGGATGATGACCCCTCGGGGGAGCTGGAGGGCTTGCATTTTCTCACCTTGACCAGGAGGTCTTTGAGAACCATGTTCAGTGTTGGGGAGAAAACGTGGTTCTGAAGATTTGGGGGACCACGTACTATTTCCTTCTGCCATGGGATGCGTTAAATGGGCAAGGACATTAAAGGCCTTAGAGAAGACCTCACTTCCAAAGAGACCTCTGGTGGCCCTCACCCTTTTGCCCACTGATGGGACAGAATGCAGAAAGGGGATTGAGGGGCCCAGGGGGGACCAAAAACACTAAGGATAGAGGCATGCAATTGGGGGAGAGCTGGAAGCCACTGGGAGAGATGATGGAAGTGGGCAGACCGTGCGATGGATGCAGAGAGGGGGAGTTCAGAGAGCTGCTGAGGAAGCCTCACCAGGGACTGGTTGGACATCAGAAGAGAATGTAAGTGGGGGGTGAGGAGTACCGGGAGTGTTGTAAGTTGTTCAGAGAAGTAAAGGTTGGGTGGGGGGCCTAATATGAATTGGGTCCTGTTGGAATGTGGTGGCCATGCAGAGTGATTGGACAACTACCAGAGAGTAGATTCTGATGGGGCAGCAGTAGAAGATGGATCAGAGAAAATAGGGGTGCAAAGGTGAAAGGTGGACATCTCAGGGGTGTGATTCAAAGAGTAGGGACAATTTAGGGTTAATCAAGGTGTCCAAGGGTGTGGGGCAACAGATGAGAATGTGGTGAAGTGGCTGGGGAGGGCTTCAGCCAAGAGGAGGATCTGATGACTTTGAGGGACGGAGGTGGTGGTGGTAATGGGGTCTAAGATTTGGACTTTGGAGGACATTTTAGTGATTTACCTGCGGTCGTTGGCCTTGACCAGGGATTTGTAGGATAAACTGGGGGAACTGGAACCTGTAAGCATGGTGACTGTTGGGAAGACGGCCAGGGAGGATGAATGAATGGGGTAATGCAGGACTGGCAGAGAGGGGGGTTGTTCCAGGGGGCCTGTGAAGTGGGCACAGTGGCCAGCAAGCTGAGGGGCATAAGGAGTGGCCAGAGCCTGGAGGTAGGCTACGGTAGGGTGAGGATGTGGTGTGGACATGGAAAGGTGAGCAGTTTTCCACAGGGCATTGGAATTGGATTGGTGATGAGGTGGAGAGGGGCAAGTGAGAGGGTGTCCCTGTTAGGAATAGAGTAAGAGCAGGGGGGCTTGGAGAGGTGTGGAGGTTGGGAAGAAAGTGGTGGTGAGGGAGAGTTGGGGACAAGGCTTAGGGAAAGGTCATGGGTGCAGGAGAGAGACTAAATAGGGGTGATAGAAGGAAATGAAAGGTGGGGGGAGGTGACCAGGCCCTCTTGGGGGAGGGGAGATTGGGTCCCAGGCTGGCCGAAAGCCGGGCGTGGGAGGGAGACAAGCTGTGGCTCCTGATTATAAATGCAGCTTTCGGTTCCCCACGCCCACCCCCCCCTTGACAGGCAAGGAGGGAGAGAAGGGGGTTGAGGGAGGTGGGAGGTTGGGAGGGAAGTAGGAAGACTAGAGGAAGTGAAGGTCAAGGGGAAGCTGGATTCCAGGAGTGCTCCTGGGGGCTTATGGAAAGAGCTTAGCAGGGCTTGGGAGAATTCTCCGGAGGGTGTTTCAAGAGGAAGGGTGGGAGAGAAGAGAAGGGGGGCACGTAAGGAATGAGATAGGGTGGGGTGGGGGGCAGGGCCCGCGGGGCAGGGGATGAGAAACCCACTCAACTGGACACATGCGCCCTCTCCAAGTGGAGAGGGCAGGTGGCACCAGGTGGGCATGGTGAAAAGGGGTACCCGTCCTTCCTGGAGGAGGGGAGGGGTTAGAGGAGGAAAGTTTTCTGCCCGGGAGGTCTGATACATCCCCCCATCCCTAGATACACCCCCTTCTGATCCGGGACCGGAGGAGCGAGTCCAGTCGCAACAAACTGCTGAGACGCACAGTCTCCGTGCCGGTGGAGGGGCGGCCCCACGGCGAGCATGGTACGGCGGCCGAGCAGGCTCCCGTGCCCCTGGACAGGACAGTCTTCGGGAGAGGGCTGAAGGTGGACTGGCTGGCCAAGGGAAGGGGGAGGGCCTGGCAGGGGAAGGAAGCCTTGGGGAGCGGGCGCTGTCAGGGGGTGGGAAGGGGTGGAGACCAAGTCTCACGACTGGAGAGTGGGAGCCGGGAAGGGGCGGTGGGTGAGAGGTCCCCGCGGGTCTCTCCGCTCCGCCTCGCTCCCTGTTCCACTCCAGCAGCGAAGTTTGACTGGTTTCCTGCTGCTTGTAAAAATAGTCGCCTTAGATCTCGAGCTTCCTGTCCGAGGGTTCCTGCCGTCGCCGCTCCTCTCAACCCGTGGTCTGGGATCTTGGGGAGCCTGACCCAGTTCCTGCCCTGTCCACACCCCCACACCCCCACCGCTACCCATCTCTACTTTCCTGGTGGCACCTCATCCAGACCTTGTCACGTGGGTCCCCTACCTCTTTTCTTGCCCGCTTTTTCCTCTTCTCACCGCCACCGTCTCTATTTTCTGCAATTCTGCCATCCCTTTCCTCGTTCCTCCCCTATTTCGCTGACTTTCTTTGCCCCCTAGCGCACCCCCAACCCCTCTGCTTGCGGCAGAACTCCATCAGACCCCCATCTCATCTCCTTGCTGTCTGTAGTTATCTGCTCAGTCTGTCTCTCCAACTCTCTCCCTCTCCATCTGTCTCTTCCCTCTCTCCCTCTTTCTGCCCCCCTCCACCCCCCTCTTTAGTCATTTAAAAAAAGATTTTTGTCTTCCTGAGAAGTTCGCTTAAAAGGTTTCCATGGGAACGGTAAGGGGAGATGAAGGCAGAGAACAGAGATCTGCAGCCAAGGTGCAGAGAGACGCCCTCAGCCCCCCCAAGCCCCTTATCACTGCATTCCCCTTCCAGGACTAGGGGTCCAGGCCTTCTTGTCCTGATTCCCTGGGGGGGCCCTTCCTCCCACCAGCTCCCTTGCCCTTCAGGGATCTAGACGTTTGAGTGGCTCACCTGCAAGGAGAACCATGGCCTGTCCACAACTCTTGCCTCCCTCCACCCCTCTTCTGATAGGCCCAGGCCTCACTGCCTTGGGGTCCAGCTCTGGGACCCAGGAGGATGGATGGCTAGGGATGTGTCGTTGTCCTGGAAACCTCTGACCATGGGTGTATGTGGGAAGTGCATCTCTGTGAGCAAAGCCAGGAGGTGGTGGTGGAGTGTGTACAGAGCATGTGTATGATGTCTGCCACATCTGTGTGTGCTTTGTGTGTGTGTGTGTGTGAGGGAGGTATCCATATCTGGTAAAGGCATGTGTGTTTATGTACACACGTGCATACCTATGTGCCCAGGCTACGATGCGCACATGGTCACGGAGCATGGTTGTCATGTGTCCCTGGGTCTGGCACATCAGCCCATATAGCCCTCTCTCTGAGTCCTCAGGGTCTGGGGTCCCTGGCCTGCCCCCTGTGTGTGGCCAGTAGGGATACCAGTGCTATATGGAAGTCGAGGTGTTGAGTCCCATAGAGGCTGAGGGGTCGGCCAGCGGGGCGTCATGTATTCTGGGGAGAGTTCAGTGGACGAGTTTGTAGATGGTGAACCTTTAAGGTTCAGGGAGACGAGCCGGTCAGGGATTTGTCAAGAAATGAGGGGGTTTGCAGGGACATCCAAGTCACCGGGGCCCTGGGGATCCGTCTGGAGAGGTGTGTGCTTAAGTAGTGGACGCTTGAGCCCCAGAGAGCTCCCTGGACCTTTGAGGGGTACTGGATCCAGGACTCCTCCTCCTTGGGGTGGAATCCGCAGCCTCTCCGTTATGCGCTCCTCTGTTTGGGGCGGTGGTCCTGCTCAGGGGGCGATGGTGGGAGGCCGGGTTTGTTTTGGGGGGTCCCCTCGGCCCCCTCCCCCGTCTCTCTCGCGCTGTCTCCGGGCGACGGGGCTCGTGACAGAGGCGGCCACGGCAGCAGCGGTCGCCTAGCAACGGCGGCGGGGCCCGGGCAACGGCGGGAG